TGTATATACTGTGCAACACTGTATATACTGTGCAACACTGTATACACTGTGCAACACTATATACTGTGCAACACTGTATATACTGTGCACTGTAATAACTAACATATATACTGTGCAACACTGTATATACTGTGCAACACTGTATATACTGTGCAACACTGTATACACTGTGCAACACTATATACTGTGCAACACTGTATATACTGTGCAACACTGTATATACTGTCAACACTTATACTGTGAATTGTACTGTATACTGTGCAACACTGTTAACTGTGAACACTATATACGTGCAACACTGTATATACTGTGCAACACTGTATATACTGTGCAACACTGTATACTAAATGTGCAATATCACTGTGCATTATACTGTGCAACACTGTATATCACTGTGCAACACTGTATACACTGTGCAACACTGTATATACTGTGCAACACTGTATACACTGTGCAACACTGTATACACTGTGCAACACTGTATACACTGTGCAACACTGTATATACTGTGCAACACTGTATACACTGTGCAACACTGTATACACTGTGCAACACTGTATACACTGTGCAACACTGTATATACTGTGCAACACTGTATACTGTGCAACACTGTATACACTGTGCAACACTGTATACACTGTGCAACACTGTATACACTGTGCAACACTGTATACACTGTGCAACACTGTATACACTGTGCAACACTGTATACACTGTGCAACACTGTATACACTGTGCAACACTGTATACACTGTGCAACACTGTATACACTGTGCAACACTGTATACACTGTGCAACACTGTATACACTGTGCAACACTGTATACACTGTGCAACACTGTATATACTGTGCAACACTGTATACACTCTGCAACACTGTATACACTGTGCAACACTGTATACACTATGCAACACTGTATATACTGTGCAACACTGTATACACTGTGCAACACTGTATACACTGTGCAACACTGTATACACTCTGCAACACTGTATACACTGTGCAACACTGTATATACTGTGCAAAACTGTATACACTGTGCAACACTGTATACACTCTGCAACACTGTATACACTGTGCAACACTGTATACACTCTGCAACACTGTATACACTCTGCAACACTGTATACACTCTGCAACACTGTATACACTCTGCAACACTGTATACACTCTGCAACACTGTATACACACCTCGTCCGTCTCAACATGTGTAAAAAGAAACTCATTGCGCATAAAAGGCCCTAAAATCTGGAATTCTTTATCTGAAGGTCCCTTGTCTGCCAATCACTTCAGAGTATTGTTAAAAAAACATCGCATCATCTTATAATCTAGACAGCAATACGCTATGTCAAAACCTGTTTTCATCCAGTTCTCTGTCACTTTTCTTCCAGCTTTCTTCAACTCCCATATATAGTTGGTAACATACATAGTCCCATTATATTTGTTTTTTAATTCAAAAAACTTACTGTATTTTCACTATATTCAATCACTCCATAAACCTGATCATTGAAACAGTTTAAATAATATGTAATTCTTTTGTAACTGACCATTTGGCATAAATTACTTTTCTTACTGTACTTTGTATTATAGTTAACAGCATAATGAGTCTTACATAATAAGTTATGTCTAGTTCTTAAGTAACATGAAAGACTTATCATTAGTTACTCGAAATGTATTACATAATTACTGGCTTTATTTTGTTCCTACTATTAAACTAATTCATTTATCTAAATTATTTGCATGCCTCAAAAAAAAACTACTATCAATCATTGATCCTGAGTTGAACCTCCTTTCTGATCTTTCAATAATCAATCCACTGCAGACTAGGACTGCAAATATTACACTGCAAACCACGCCACAACTATCTTAACAACACCAGACAGTATTTAGCTACAATGTCGTATCCCTAAGTAAACATTGCGATGACATCGCTGCTCCTAGAGACGCTACAGGGAAATCCAACATTCATTATCTTGACTGAAACCTGGCTCACCCACACTACTACACACCTGCTGGCTCACCCACACCACTACACACCTGCTGGCTCACCCACACTACTACAGACACAACCGAGTGAGGTGTACAGCCATGCACAACTGCTGGCTTACCCACACCACTACAGACACAATTGAGTGAGATGCGCAGCCAAACACACCTGCTGGCTCACCTACACCACTACAGACACAATTGAGTGAGGTGTACAGCCATACACACCTGCTGGCTCACCTACACCACTACAGACACAATTGAGTGAGGTGTACAGCCATACACACCTGCTGGCTCACCCACACCACTACAGACACAACTGAGTGAGGTGTACAGCCATACACACCTGATGGCCCTCACCCCACACTACAGACACAATTGAGTGAGGTGTACAGCCATGCACACCTGCTGGCTCACCCACACCACTACAGACACAACTGAGTGAGGTGTACAGACATCCCACCCTGCTGGCTCACCCACACAACTACAGACACAACTGAGTGAGGTGTACAGCCATGCACACCTGCTGGCTCACCCACACCACTACAGACACAATTGAGTGAGGTGTACAGCCATACACACCTGCTGGCTCACCCACACCAGTACATACACAACTGAGTGATATGTACAGCTATACACACCTGCTGGCTTACCCACACCACTACAGACACAACTGGTGAGATGTACAGCCATACACACCTGATGGCTCACCCACACCACTACAGACACAACTGAGTGAGGTGTACAGACATACACACCTGCTGGCTCACCCACACCACTACAGACACAACTGAGTGAGGTGTACAGACATACACACTTGCTGACTCACCCACACCACTACAGACACAACTGTGTGAGGTGTACAGACATACACACCTGCTGGCTCACCCACACCACTACAGACACAACTGAGTGAGGTGTACAGTCATACACACCTGCTGGCTCACCCACACCACTACAGACACAACTGAGTGAGGTGTACAGACATACACACCTGCTGGCTCACCCACACCACTACAGACACAACTGAGTGAGGTGTACAGTCATACACACCTGCTGGCTCACCCACACCACTACAGACACAACTGTGTGAGGTGTACAGTCATACACACCTGCTGGCTACATAAAGGGATGGAAGAACGCCTGTCTAATGCACTAATGAAATGAATGTTCTCGTGCAATCTGCACCAGAATCGATCTGAGAATACACAGTACTGGAATAACCTTTTTACAATATTCCTTACAATACCCCTCCTTACAGTACACCCCTTACAATATTCAGTATAATACCTTTATTACAATACTCCATACAATACCCTCATACCATACTTCTCTTACTTCCCTTCTTTCATTGATCCTCTAATGATACCCCTCTTACAATACCTCTTACAATACTCCTCTTACAATAGGTGTCTCCAGGTCACCATATACAAACACAACTAACTTAGGAAAGACCTGAAGGACTTAATGAGCTAAAGAAACATCAACTTCATTCAATGAGAAGAGCTCAGTAACAGACTTATTTAGTAACAATTACCTTACTAATACATTGAATAACCAAGACTACAAGAAAAACTAAGACTGCTATAACATAACTTGATAACATATAGACAAATGTTCTAGTTCCTCAAACAGCAGACATCTACGGACAAACTATTCGAGCTCCTCAAACAGCAGACATCTACGGACAAACATTCGAGCTCCTCAAACAGCAGACATCTATGGACAAATGTTCTAGTTCCTCAAACAGCAGACATCTATGGACAAATGTTCTAGTTCCTCAAACAGCAGACATCTAGGGACAAATGTTCTAGTTCCTCAAACAGCAGACATCTACGGACAAATGTTCTAGTTCCTCAAACAGCAGACATCTACGGACAAATGTTCTAGTTCCTCAAACAACAGACATCTATGGACAAATGTTCTAGTTCCTCAAACAGCAGACATCTACGGACAAATGTTCTAGTTCCTCAAACAACAGACATCTATGAACAAATGTTCTAGTTCCTCAAACAGCAGACATCTACGGACAAATGTTCTAGTTCCTCAAACAGCAGACATCTACGGACAAATGTTCTAGTTCCTCAAACAGCAGACATCTACGGACAAATGTTCTAGTTCCTCAAACAGCAGACATCTACGGACAAATGTTCTAGTTCCTCAAACAGCAGACATCTACGGACAAATGTTCTAGTTCCTCAAACAGCAGACACCTATGGAGAAATATTCGCGCTCCTCGAGCAGACAGTACTACTGATCACTGACCTAGTCACTAAATTATCAAACTTTTCCAATGAAACTAGTAAAATCAGCATTAGTCTCCAAAATAATAATTATATAGTGGAAATCATTAACTTCAATTAGAAGAGACAACTATACATTAAGGCCGGGTTCTTCCTTTTTTTTTGTTTCCCATTTGCACGATTTCGTTGAATATTTTACCAGAGACTTAAGGCATGTTGAACATGTTGTGGTAAAAGTTGCATCAAGATCGTCCAATAAATAAAGTTATGAAAAATCAAAATGTGAAAAATTGGACATGGCAACACTTATAGCATTATTATTTTTATAATCAAGGGGGAAGCACTAAACCCGGAGGATTATACAGTGCCTGGGGGGGGGATGTGGAAGGCATTCAGGCTTAATTCGGGGAACTGGAGCACAGATCCAATTCCCTAAATCAAGAGCCCCTCACCAACATCAAGGAACCTTCCTTGAGGGGAACACTTATAGCAACATTTGTTAATATTGGCAATCTCGAAATCATTGTTGATAATCACAAATGATAAAGTGCTGCCCAATTGAATATCTAACGTTTAGAAATAATGTAATAACATGTTTTATGGTACCCAAAAAAAATATTATTATGTCTTGACTTTATTTTATTTTTTTTTTTCATTTTACATCCATTTTATGAAAAATGGAAGGGATTATTACCCAAGACATCTACGTTTAAAAATAAAACAGGGTCCCCTGAATAACTTTTGTAAAATTCAGAATGATCGGTTCATAAATATTGGTGAATCATCAGAATAATACAAATAAATGCACTTTCGAGAAAAATCAACAAATACATTGAACATTACTATACAGTGGGTAAAATTACTCCTAGTGCCTTTATACGTTTATTGAGAGTAGAACTGGTTGCATAGACATTATTCCTGAAGTTCCATGAAGATCCCTTTATCCTGAAGTTCTCTGGTGGCCGGCCAATCATAACAATCCACCCCAATCAGTCTGAAAAGAAATGAATTCTCAAAATCCTATTCCCAGTGATTATTCCCATTGATTATGTACACATACGTGTAATTGCACCCATATATGATATATACATAACAATATAAAAATATACCAAAAAACACTAATAATTAAGGACAGTAATAGGTTTAGTAGAAAAATAGAAATGAGCAGGAAGGGTAAAGAGAAAGGAGAGTCTTTCAATGTTTATTATGCTAATTGCCGTAGTGCTTGGAATAAGATGGACGAGTTGAGATTAGTTGCTAGTGCAGGTAACATTGATGTATTTGCCTTAACTGAGACGTGGTTTAATTCATAAAGTCGGGACATGCCTGCGGAATGTCATATTCAGGGTTTTAAATTGTTCCAAGAAGATAGAAGTATTGGGAAGGGGGGTGGGGTGGCATTGTATGTCCGAGATCGCTTGAACTGTTGCATAAAAACGGGTATTAAGTCTGAAGTAACACATACAGAGTCTGTTTGGATAGAATTTTCAGAGGGGCATGAAAAACTGATTTTAGGAGTGATATACCGTCCCCCAAACTTAGATAGGGACCAAGGGAAACTACTATGGGAGGAAATTGTTAAGGCCACAAGGCACGATAATGTAGTAATTCTAGGAGACTTTAACTTTAGTCATGTTGATTGGAATTTCTTGACTGGGAATTTAGTATCATACGACTTCTTAGAAGTATTTCAGGATTGTTTTTTGAAGCAGTTTGTGACAGAACCTACAAGGGGAAATAACCTGCTTGACTTAGTTAAGGCAAACAATGAATCCCTTGTTAATAATTTAGAAATTTCAGAGGAACTGGGTGCTAGCGACCACAAATCAATTATATTTAGCATTGAATGGAAGTACGATAGTAGCGATAACTCAGTAACAGTCCCAGATTTTCGCTTAGCAGATTACGATGGGCTTAGAGAACACTTATCATCTGTTGACAGGGGTAACGAAGAGAGCTATCAATATGACAGTTTTCTGAGCACTATACATGCTGCTCAAAGAGCGTTTATCCCATATAAAGAAATTAGATCAAATAGAAATGACCCAAAATGGATGAATAATACACTCAAATATCTACTAGGGCATAAGAAAGGAATTTATAGGCGTATCAAAAGAGGTGAGGGTCATCTTATGAATCAGTATATTGACATTAAGAGGGACATTAAAAAGGGGATAAGAAAAGCTAAAAGGGACTATGAAATTAAAGTTGCTAGGGATGCTAAAACTAACCCAAAAAGTTTTTTCCAGGTCTATAGAACAAAAGTTAGAGATAAGATAGGTCCCCTTAAAAATAACTATGGGCATCTTACTGACAAAGAGAATGAAATGTGCTTCATTTTAAATAATTATTTTCTCTCAGTTTTTACACAGGAAGACACTAACAATATTCCAGTAATTAATTTTTACAGTGGGCTAGAAGAAGATAAATTATGTAACATCACAGTCACTAGTGAGATGGTTGTGAAGCAGATAGACAGACTGAAGCAAAATAAGTCGCCGGGTCCTGATGAGGTTTTTTCAATGGTTCTTAAGGAATGCAAAATGGAACTCTGTGAACCATTAACTAATATTTTTAATTTATCTCTTCAAACAGGTGTAGTGTCTGATATGTGGAAGATGGCTAATGTAATTCCTATTTTTAAAACAGGGGACAAGTCGTTACCGTCAAATTACCGCCCAATAAGCCTGACCTCAATTGTAGGCAAATTACTAGAGTCAATTATAGCTGATATTATAAGAAGCCATCTCGATAAGCATAGCTTGATTAATGATACTCAGCATGGATTCACAAGAGGCCGGTCTTGTCTAACTAATTTATTAACTTTCTTCAGTAAAGCTTTTGAGGCTGTTGACCACAATAAAGAATTTGATATCATTTACTTAGATTTTAGTAAGGCTTTTGATAGAGTTCCGCACCATAGACTGTTAAAGAAAGTGGCAGCTCATGGCACTGGGGGAAAAGTGCTCTCGTGGATCGAGTCATGGCTCACTGACAGGAAGCAGAGAGTGTCCATAAATGGGGTTAAGTCCGAGTGGGGATCTATAACAAGTGGCGTTCCACAGGGATCAGTCTTGGGCCCGTTGTTGTTTATAATATATATCAATAATCTTGATGAGGGAATTACTAGTGATATGAGCAAATTCGCCGATGACACAAAGATAGGTAGGATAATTGATTCAAACGTAGATGTTATGGAACTTCAGGAGGATTTAAACAAACTCTATTCTTGGTCAGAAAAGTGGCAGATGCAGTTCAATATAGATAAATGCAAGGTTCTGAAGCTTGGGAGTGCCCATAACCCTAGTACTTATAAGTTAAATGATGTAGAACTTAGCCATACAGATTGCGAAAAGGACTTGGGGGTTATGGTGAGCAGCAACCTTAAACCAAGACAGCAATGCCTAAGCGTACGTAATAAGGCAAATAGATTACTGGGATTTATATCAAGAAGTGTAAGCAACAGAAGTCCAGAGGTCATACTGCAGCTTTATACATCATTAGTAAGGCCTCACCTAGATTATGCAGCTCAATTCTGGTCTCCGTATTACAAAATGGACAAATTCGTTAGAAAACATTCAGCGTAGGATGACTAAATTAATACATAGCATTAGAAATCTTCCTTATGAAGAAAGATTGAAGACTCTTAAGTTACATTCACTTGTTAGACGAAGAATGAGGGGAGACCTGATCGAAGTGTATAAGTGGAAGATAGGTATTAATAAAGGGGATATTAATAAGGTCTTGAGGATGTCTCTCCAAGAGAGAACCCACAGTAATGGATTTAAATTAGATAAGTTTAGATTTAGAAAGGACATAGGAAAGTATTGGTTTGGAAATAGGGTAGTTGATGAGTGGAACAGTCTACCTAGTTGGGTTATTGAGGCTGAGACTTTGGGTAGTTTCAAATCTAGGTTGGATAAGTACATGAGTGGGAGGGGTTGGATTTGAGTGGGACTTTCACATCAGAGCTTATTTCTTGGGTGGCATTGAAAATTGGGTTGAGCAAATGTTTTGTTAGTAGGATGAATTGTAAAGGACCTGCCTAGTATGGGCCAGCAGGCCTCCTGCAGCGTTCCTCCTTTCTTATGTTCTTATGTAATTACGTACCTTTGACTGGATGTAGGTAGACACATGATTAGCTAATGTCCTCCAGGCTCGTAGGACGTGTCCAGCTCCCTTTTCCTCTTCTTTCCTCTTTTTTGGTTCCGTTTTTCCTTCATGTGCTTCTCCATTAATTCAAGTTGTGCTTGAGTCACTGCTGAACGTCCGTAGCCCAGTGGTATGTCTAGACAGCTCCTCACATATCCAGTATTGTAGTCTGCAACAGCATGGCTGACTGCGAAATCAGCATGCCTCTTGGTTTGATATTTGGCTTTATTGCTTTAAGATCATATGCGTTGATGCAGACTTTCATTAGGGTTTTGTGTTCTGCCTTTTACACAATGCCACATCATTTCATCTGTTGTTAGGTCTTTGTAGATATTATGCACCTCCTCCATGTATGCAGGTTCCAGTTGGAACTGCACTTTCATGTTGGTGTGAGATGGTGGAGGAAGGTTTGCTGCTACTGCTTTCTGGTAGAAACACCAGAATTTATCACCTGTTGGGCAAAGGTGATGCTGAGGTTTTTCATCATTTGAGGAAAAATGGAAGAAGCTTGCCATTATACAATTCCTCATATCTTCAACTCCATGATCGATCACCTCTCTCAGGTTCTTTTGAAAGTACTGTGCCAACTTATCAATTACAGAGTCTGTCAATATGCCCTTTTGTTCATGGCGAACTCCTTCCTCTTCCTCCCAGTTTTCAATTCTTTCTCAACATATTGTGACTTCCTCAAATTTGTTAGTCTGTTCTTTAGACGTTTTGCATAATCATTGATACATTCCTCTTTTTCAACATTTACACCTGGATATGGACCCTCACCATCGTTGAGGTCAACAATGGTTTTATACATACTGCTGTCACCGTCACTCACTATTGTTTTGTATCTCAGTTTTTTTGTCAAGAGATCGTTGTCAAATTATTACTGCTGCTTTACTTTCCATCTTTGCAGCTGTTACTGAATAGTTTATATAGCAATTATGTTCGTGTTCATTTTCATATTGTTCATATTTTTCAAGAGATGTCTGTTTGCTGTAAGAACTTTCCATATAGGCACACATTTGACAGTACTTGCACAAAACTTCATAATCAACCACTAATTTCGTCACGGCATCGATAGCGATACCAATGCCTATATTTGAGTGATGTCCCCTTTTGTGCCATGTTCCGTCATATGTCACATCAGTGTTATGAATTCCATTGATATCTGGTACAATGTTCAATTTGGCATATTCCTGAACAATAATGTCCCTAGATACATTTTTCTGTTATCATAGACGCATAATTATTGTATATGTATAGAGTGATATGTGGAAGAGTGCACAATGCATTTCTACGAGCAAGTGCCCTGTATCCTTGACCTGCTACCATTTCCCCATACACCATCCAACCAGTTATCTCATTCAATACTTTATATGCACCAGGTTTTTCCCCCATCTGATATCCACAACCAGGACACTCTAGAACAATAACTGTCTCTAGATGTTGTTCATAATATGTAGTTTCCACTGTTTTAACACAACACTTCGAGCAAAACACTTTCGATAAGACAGTATTCTATAATGTATTACAATTCTCCATCTTTATATTTATGTCAATAAACTCATTAATTACATTACTAAATAATGACAATCTCTGTGTGGCACTTGACACCTCAGCAGATGCAGGTGTTGACACTGGAATATCACTCGCAACACTAGTATCAATATCAGAGTTGTTGGCCACATCTGGGGTGGCAGTGGAGGTGCTGGCCACAGATGTGGTCATACGAGATAAAGTGGCAGTGGAGGTGCTGGTGGCCATATATTGGGTGGTGGTGGATGTGCTGGCCTCATATGGGATCAATGTAAATAAATTGGGACGTCTTTTGTTCTTCGTTCCTTTTGGTCGGCCAACTGGACGTCGTGTGGCCACAGGTACGTCTTTTCTGGGTCGACCACGTGAACGTGGGGTGGCCACATATGGAGTGGCCGTGGAGGTAGTAGTCGTGATAGTGGCCGTAGAGGTAGCCATGGAGGTAGAAGTTGTGGTAGTAGAAGTTGTGGTAGTAGTAGCCGTGGAAGTAGAAGTTGTGGTAGATGTAGCCGTGGAGGTAGTAGTTGTGGTAGTAGTAGTAGCCGTGGAGGTGGCCACGGTGGCCATATTTGCGGGGCTCCTATATTTTGTCTTCCTTGTTTCTGAATATGAAATATCCAATAGTTCAGTAGCAGTGACCAAGGATAGGTCATGAGAGGAGTGTGGTGGTACTAGCATGGTGGCGGCGTCACCACCACAGCAGCTGCCGCCGCTCTCTTTGCTTTGCTAGCCATTATCATTGCTTCTATGTTCTTTCTCCTCTTCCTGCTTATGTTCTTGGTAAACCGTTTCTTCTTTGCAGGCATCGTGTACAAAAAATGTATACAATGAAAGGCAAAAAGTGATGTCCCAAGGGTAGTCAGTTGTCAGACAAAGCGACACATCACCACTCTCTTCAGACTTGTAGTCGGCACTGACTTGCTGTAGTGTGAGCAGCTCCTTCTCACAGCTACCCTGATGGTTGCCAGTTACTATTTAGAAAATCTCGCTCAAAAATACACACAAAAAAAAGGAAAAAAATACCTGTGATACTGTTTTATGAAGCGAGTCGCGCTGGAGCACTTGGTATTGTTATGACGTGAGTCACGCTCATGACGTAGTTACCTGCTTTTTTTATAATTACGATAAATTTTTATGTAATTATCGTACAGAGACGAGACGCACACCAAAATGTTGCCAGCCGGGTCACCATATGGAGAAGACCCGGGCCGGAAGTACCGGCAAACCTCTATGAATGAATGAATGAAATGTTGCCAGATCTTTGCTCAATTTTTCGGTAAGATTAACTCATTTTTCATATTTTTTCGATTTTTTTGGTGTGTCTAGGCTCAGAATTGGTACACCTGCTGGCTCACCCACACCACTACACACCTGCTGGCTCACCCACACTACTACACACCTGCTGGCTCACCCACACTACTACACACCTGCTGGCTCACCCACACTACTACACACCTGCTGGCTCACCCACACTACTACACACCTGCTGGCTCACCCACACCACTACACACCTGCTGGCTCACCCACACCACTACACACCTGCTGGCTCACCCACACTACTACTACACACCTGCTGGCTCACCAACACCACTACACACCTGCTGGCTCACCCACACCACTACACACCTGCTGGCTCACCCACACCACTACACACCTGCTGGCTCACCCACACTACTACTACACACCTGCTGGCTCACCCACACCACTACACACCTGCTGTGTCACCCACACCACTACACACCTGCTGGCTCACCCACACCACTACACACCTGCTGGCTCACCCACACCACTACACACCTGCTGGCTCACCCACACTACTACTACACACCTGCTGGCTCACCAAACACCACTACACACCGCTGGCTCACCCACACCACTACACACCTGCTGGCTCACCCACACCACTACACACCTGCTGGCTCACCCACACCACTACACACCTGCTGGCTCACCCACACCACACACCTGCTGGCTCACCCACACCACTACACACCTGCTGGCTCACCCACACCACTACACACCTGCTGGCTCACCCACACCACTACACACCTGCTGGCTCACCCACACCACTACACACCTGCTGGCTCACCCACACTACTACTACACACCTGCTGGCTCACCAACACCACTACACACCTGCTGGCTCACCCACACCACTACACACCTGCTGGCTCACCCACCCACTACACACCTGCTGGCTCACCCACACTACTACTACACACCTGCTGGCTCACCCACACTACTACTACAAACCTGCTGGCTCACCCACACTACTACTACACACCTGCTGGCTCACACACACTACTACACACCTGCTGGCTCACCCACACTACTACTACACACCTGCTGGCTCACCCACACTACTACTACACACCTGCTGGCTCACCCACACTACTACTACACACCTGCTGGCTCACCCACACCACTACACACCTGCTGGCTCACCCACACCACTACACACCTGCTGGCTCACCCACACACTACACACCTGCTGGCTCACCCCACACTAACTACTACACACCTGCTGGCTCACCCACACCACTACACACCTGCTGGCTCACCCACCCACTCACACTGCTGGCTCACCCACACACTACACACCTGCTGGCTCACCCACACTACTACTACACACCTGCTGGCTCACCCACACCACTACACACCTACTGGCTCACCCACACCACTACACACCTGCTGGCTCACCCACACTACTACTACACACTTGCTGGCTCACCCACACCACTACACACCTGCTGGCTCACCCACACTACTACTACACACCTGCTGGCTCACCCACACCACTACACACCTGCTGGCTCACCCACACCACTACACACCTGCTGGCTCACCCACACCACTACACACCTGCTGGCTCACCCACACCACTACACACCTGCTGGCTCACCCACACTACTACTACACACCTGCTGGCTCACCCACACCACTACACACCTGCTGGCTCACCACACCACTACACACCTGCTGGCTCACCCACACTACTACTACACACCTGCTGGCTCACCCACACTACTACTACAAACCTGCTGGCTCACCCACACTACTACTACACACCTGCTGGCTCACACACACTACTACACACCTGCTGGCTCACCCACACTACTACTACACACCTGCTGGCTCACCCACACTACTACTACACACCTGCTGGCTCACCCACACTACTACACACCTGCTGGCTCACCCACACTACTACTACACACCTGCTGGCTCACCCACACTATTACACACCTGCTGGCTCACCCACACCACTACAGACACAACTGAGTGAGGTGTACAGCCATACACACCTGCTGGCTCACCGACACCACTACACACCTGCTGGCTCACCCACACCACTACAGACACAACTGAGTGAGGTGTACATACATACACACCTGCTGGCTCACCCACACCACTACAGACACAACTGAGTGAGGTGTACAGCCATACACACCTGCTGGCTCACCCACACCACTACATACACAACTGAGTGAGGTGTACAGTCATACACACCTGCTGGCTCACCCACACCACTACAGACACAACTGAGTGACGTGTACACACATACACACCTGCTGGCTCACCCACACCACTACAGACACAACTGTGTGAGGTGTACAGACATACACACCTGCTGACTCACCCACACCACTACAGACACAACTGAGTGAGGTGTACAGCCATACACACCTGCTGACTCACCCACACCACTACAGACACAACTGAGTGGGGTGTACAGCCATACACACCTGCTGGCTCACCCACACCACTACAGACACAACTGTGTGAGGTGTACAGACATACACACCTGCTGACTCACCCACACCACTACATACACAACTGAGTGAGGTGTACAGCCATACACACCTGCTGGCTCACCCACACCACTACATACACAACTGAGTGAGGTGTACAGACATACACACCTGCTGGCTCACCCACACCACTACATACACAACTGTGTGAGGTGTACAGCCATACACACCTGCTGGCTCACCCACACCACTACATACACAACTGAGTGAGGTGTACAGCCATACACACCTGCTGGCTCACCCACACCACTACAGACACAACTGTGTGAGGTGTACAGACATACACACCTGCTGACTCACCCACACCACTACATACACAACTGAGTGAGGTGTACAGCCATACACACCTGCTGGCTCACCCACACCACTACATACACAATTGAGTGAGGTGTACAGACATACACACCTGCTGGCTCACCCACACCACTACATACACAACTGAGTGAGGTGTACAGACATACACACCTGCTGGCTCACCCACACCACTACATACAGAACTGAGTGAGGTGTACAGACATACACACCTGCTGACTCACCCACACCACTACATACACAACTGAGTGAGGTGTACAGCCATACACACCTGCTGTCTCACCCACACCACTACAGACACAACTGAGTGAGGTGTACAGCCATACACACCTGCTGGCTCACCCACACCACTACAGACACAACTGTGTGAGGTGTACAGACATACACACCTGCTGGCTCACCCACACCACTACAGACACAACTGAGTGAGGTGTACAGTCATACACACCTGCTGGCTCACCCACACCACTACAGACACAACTGAGTGAGGTGTACAGTCATACACACCTGCTGGCTCACCCACACCACTACAGACACAACTGTGTGAGGTGTACAGACATACACACCTGCTGGCTCACCCACACCACTACAGACACAACTGAGTGAGGTGTACAGTCATACACACCTGCTGGCTCACCTACACCACTACAGACACAACTGAGTGAGGTGTACAGTCATACACACCTGCTGGCTCACCCACACCACTATAGACACAACTGTGTGAGGTGTACAGACATACACACCTGCTGGCTCACCCACACCACTACAGACACAACTGAGTGAGGTGTACAGTCATACACACCTGCTGGCTCACCACACCCACTACAGACACAACTGAGTGAGGTGTACAGTCATACACACCTGCTGGCTCACCCACACCACTACAGACACAACTGTGTGAGGTGTACAGACATACACACCTGCTGGCTCACCCACACCACTACAGACACAACTGAGTGAGGTGTACAGACATACACACCTGCTGGCTCACCCACACCACTACAGACACAACTGAGTGAGGTGTACAGCCATACACACCTGCTGGCTCACCCACACCACTACAGACACAACTGAGTGAGGTGTACAGACATACACACCTGCTGGCTCACCCACACCACTACATACACAACTGAGTGAGGTGTACAGACATACACACCTGCTGGCTCACCCACACCACTACAGACACAACTGAGTGAGGTGTACAGACATACACACCTGCTGGCTCACCCACACCACTACATACACAACTGAGTGAGGTGTACAGACATACACACCTGCTGGCTCACCCACACCACTACAGACACAACTGAGTGAGGTGTACAGACATACACACCTGCTGGCTCACCCACACCACTACATACACAACTGAGTGAGGTGTACAGACATACACACCTGCTGGCTCACCCACACCACTACATACACAAACTGAGTGAGGTGTACAGACATACACACCTGCTGGCTCACCCACACACTACAGACACAACTGAGTGAGGTGTACAAACATACACACCTGCTGGCTCACCCACACCACTACAGACACAACTGAGTGAGGTGTACAAACATACACACCTGCTGGCTCACCCACACCACTACAGACACAACTGAGTGAGGTGTACAGTCATACACACCTGCTGGCTCACCCACACCACTGCAGACACAACTGAGTGAGGTGTACAGTCATACACACCTGCTGGCTACATCAAGGGATGGAAGAACGCCAGTCTAATGCACTAATGAAGTGAATGTACTCGTGCAATCTGCACCAGAATCGATCTGA